AATTCGATAAAAACTCTAGCCTCTAACGTGTTCACAAGCAAATTGTGGACGAACCGACGGACGGACGACGGACGGACGACAGGGGCAACGACAATATGTATAGAAATAATAAATGACGCCGAGTGAAGCGAGGCGCGAAAAACTTTTGGGAAAATTCAATTAAATTCGGAGATTTAAAACGAGCCCTAAATTTTCCTCATGGTCAAAATGAACCGACAGAATAGATTGACCTTGATAAGAGGTACGAGTGGTTCCCAGAGGCGGAGCGGGTAATTTTAAAGTAGGGAATCTGTATGGGTTTAGTTTGAGGGTCTCCCCCCGCCCCCTCCTCTGGCTACGCCACTGTGCACAATTGTTGTATGGGGGCTACAGAGCTTATTTATTGTCCGATTCTCTGGGTTTTTTATGTTATTATATGTCATTTGTCCACTTTTATTACAATTTAAAGGAGCAATGTCTAAGAAAACCAGGCCATAAATGGGCTAAAACTAACAATAGGCCTAAATGAATAAGGCAAATTGATCTAAAGACTAGTTCATTAAACAATCGAGACAATGCCACTATAAATTTAGGTCACATAGGCCTAACCGTTTATTATTTCAGTCTCAAACGCCACTTGATCGATATGAGGACCAGAAATACAATTCTGCGGAAATATGAATTCCACATTCAGTGGTAAATTCGAAAACGTAGTCAAGATTGCAGCCTGTGTGATGAAAACGTGCTTTTCAATTTGCGAATATCAAGTCTCAAATGTCTTGTCGGACTGTGTCGGAGTGTCGGAGGATTCATGACACCGCATCTAGACAGAGCAATTAGTCCAAAGAACCCCCATGGGACGAAGAGACGAACATAGTGACTTCTAAGGTCATTGGAGGTCAAGGTCAAAGTCACGAACCTACTTAAGTTGTGACATTGCCCGTCCTCCAACATTTATTGAATCTTGTTATCAACTACAAGCGGTTGATGTGAGTAAGATGACCAACACCACTGAAAATGGGTAATTTTACTGTGACCAAATTACTATGTGACAGTATTACTGTGACTAAATTACCGTGTGACCTTTTTACTGTGACCAAATTTCCGGTGACCGATTTACCTGCGACCTAATTTCCTTACATTCAGAATATTACTTCCAGAATAAAATACGGAGCCCCTAAGGCGCAATTTTCCGTACTTGAATTACTTATTTCGTTTAAACGAAATACATTTTTTTATTTCGTTTAAACGAAATACTATCAAGTATTCAACAAAATACTATCAAGTATTTCGTTGAATCGAAATAGGTTATTCGATTAAACGAAATAATTATTTTATTATTATATATTATGTTATTTCGTTTAAACAAATTAATTATTTCGTTTAAACGAATTAATTATTTCGTTAAAACGAATGTTTTATAAAAGTACGGGAAAATTGCGCCTAATTTACTATAATCTGGTGCCTGTGGTTCCAACTTCCAATTTTTTTCACTTCAGACTTCCGATTTCCGTTTTGTTTTCTGCTTCCTTTCCACTTTCTCTTCAGACTTTTGCGACTTCGTAGATTATGTTTATTTTTTCATCTGGAGAGGAATACTGATCTATATCGCTGGGGATTCAAATATTCAATCAAATGCAAGATTCATCCATCGGACAGTATGTTTATAAATGTAACCGAATAACCCAAAACTATCTCTTTAAATTTGTCGGCAACTCTATTCTAACATTGTTCTAATAACATCCTGTCGATCTCTTTGATGTATTGGACAATATCTATTTTTAGAATCACTGAGTTCTGTTTTCTTGTCACAAGGTAAAATATAGTCAGATCTGTCTGCATCAATGAGAGAGTTAGGACGGGAAAAGGAAAGTGCCGTGTTTTCCTTATTTGGTTTCTTGGTCAACTCTGAAATATTCAGATCATGCTGTCGATTCCATGTAAATTATAAATGTCTAAATAAAGTGTATCTCTATACGTCTGTTACTGTTTCTGTGTGGAGTCAGGTGTCCACCAAAACTGGCTCGCTCACAATTGGTAGTGCGCTGATGGGGTTACGACACCAAAACTGTTGGATAATATACAATTTTTGGATTGTGTTTTGTGAACAATTTGGAACATTTCATAGTAATTAGTTGAGATCTTTTCCATTATTTTAGACATATACAAGTCGTGTTCTGATTTAGTCCTGCTGGCCATGAGTCTATCAAAAATCAGAAATTTTTTAGAAAAACCTTTACCTGTCAGAGTTGAGAATCAAGATTGTGTACCGATATTATTATCAGACAGTAAAGGCAGATATTTACAAAACCAGTTTAAAAGAGACGATTTGATTAATCTAAAAATTTGAATCTGCTAGTGGTAGGAAAACTAAGCAAGGAATTGACTATTTGGAAGAAAAAAAAACCTAATTGCGTTCGAGAATATTCTTCAGTTATTATTTATGTGTGGTTAGGAACTTGTGACATTGCTGACAAAGTAGATAATTTGCTTGAGAAAGTCGTGCTGATCCTGTTGCAATTATTTTGTCCCAATATAGTCGTGCTGTTAATATAGTAAACAATTCATTAATGGTACAAATTGAAACATCAATGTCCTTTTTATACGCCCACATGAATTGGGGGATGTATATTGCCGTCACCGATGTCCGTCCGTCCGTCCACAATTGCTCGTAAGCACTCTTGAAGGCACAATTCTTGACGCATTTTGATGAAACTTGGTGTGAATGTTCCTAATCACCCAAGGATGAACCCTATTGAAAATCAGAAGAATTGAAAAATATTCAGTATGAGTTATTATTCAGTCTCGCGCTGAAGATTGAATATTTGCCTTCTAGAGTTTTTACGAGCTAAAAATTGAACACGTTTTCAAGAACAAGAGCAATAATTCATACTCAATATTATTCAGATTTGCGCTAAAGAGTTCAAAAGGTTGAATATTTCATACTGATGATTGTTACTGTACTGCTAAATATTGTTATTCAAAATCAAAGCTGCCAGCGGGCGTATATTACCTTGCCTGGCAAGCTATCTCTTAATTGATACTGAAGCTCAAATTTCATCAATCGTTCAATCTTTCTACGAGACACACTTGAAAGAATCTACTGATTTTCATAAAAGTTCTTATTTGACACTTCGTGCTGCTAATGGACTTGAAATACCATGCATTGGAATTATTAAAGCTGATCTCCGGATATTAAAGTGATACTACGTCTTAGAATTAACATAAATTTGAAGAATTTTAAACTTGGCGAATAAGAGCATATATTCATCAGTAGATATACCTGGTGTCATACATAACATAACAGGATCCTTATATAATCCGATAAATTCAAAAAACTTTGTAATTATCCACAAATATGCAATCAACTAGTTGCTGTGTAAATTTCAGCATCCTATCTCAAGTGGTTTGGCCGTGGTGAAGCTTCAAAATCTGGATTTTCAAAAAAGGCAAAATTGGCAAATTTCAACAGGTAGCTACCTGTGGTACCAAAATCCATTTTTGGGTCGAATTTTTTGGGTCTCGGAAATCGATGTAACCCGGTTTTTTGGACTGGGTGCTTCTCTAGCTCTCCCCCAATGTGCATAAAAGCTACCTGTGGGAATACCAGTCATCTCGTTGACGTAACAGAGTTAACCAACAAAAATTTGTCGCCGAGTTGACATGTCACCGAGTTAACCGAATACCAAATGGTAGGAACCAGCAAGTTTCTGTCTAAGGACCAGCTTTTTTGACTACATGTAGCCCGTATACTTCAGGAAATAGGAATTCTGAGCATTACAGACAGCACTGTCGCGTACTGAGCGTTTTGCTATATGTAATGTAAAGCTATGTTCTGTTGGGGTTGGGGTGGGCGTCGACTCAGGAATTTTCTTTTTGACATATGCTCTCCTGCATTCCGTAAGTCATTTGGAATGGAAGATTTAAAGAGTTGCAGTCTTTAGTAAATGCTATTTCACTCATTTATATATTGCTGGTTGGTTAGTTTGATTATAATACTTAGGTACATTTTTTTGTTAATTTTGAATTTATTCTAGGGTTTGGGGTTCGTGGACATGGTACAACCAATCCCTATGGTAGTTGAGCCTCTGATGATGAAGTCTTTTCCCTAATGCTATAATATCCATATATTTGATGTTAAACAATCGCTGTAACATAATGTTAATATCATTCATACTTGCAAGTATTATAGTGAACGTCATGCATGAAATTGTATACCATTCATATTTTGCTTAACATAAAATGGGGTGCAATTTGGGGTACAAATCAATTTTCTAGGATTGCAAATGACCCCCCCTCCTTCACTGTCGCCGCAACTGGTAATCTTTAACCACCGAATCCAGCTTCATTAGCCCACATGGTGCAGAAAATAGGATGTAAAACTCCATTTCATTTGCAACCACGGGTTGTTAAGACAAAAAAAGATCTGAGGGGGCACTGGACAATTGCTATTTATTTTCCAGTGGGAATGGCTGGAGCCGCAATACTGGTAAATCTTCAACCTATGCCATGATAGAACAACGGAACCTTTATGTTAGCGAGCTGCCTCTGGCGTCTGACTAGCAATTCTGGCAAGGATGCTTGTTCTATTAAAAAAAATGAGCAATATTCTTATACTGTACCCCTAGAAAATGACAATTTTTCTGGGTTTTTTTTCTAATTTATTGCACCTTAATAGTAGGCCATAAAACAGGATCTTCTGTCGGTTTATATTTCGTGTGGAAAGGTAATATAAAGTTTAAAACCCAGTAATGCCCGAACACAGAATGAAGCCTTTCTTGAAATGTTCTCGTATCTCGGATATTAATTCCATGATCAAACTCGAAACTTGTCTTACTGTAGAATATAAGTTTAATATGAGTCACAAAATGGGTACCACTCAAAACAGTAAAGAGCAAAAGTCCCCACATTAAAAACATGAGAAATGCCACAAAATAAAACTGGTATCCTAATACAGCTCTTATCAGCGACACAGGAGGTACGATGTCTTCATAGTTTATTAATGGAGAAATGTCGTAGTAAAAATACGGAATCATATGAATGGTGGAATACACGGTTCCTGCAAATGTCCAGAATAGAAACACCATGAAATGTCTTTGATTATGAATGCCAACACACGCCCTGGCAAAAAAACAATGGTGATCCCGTTTTAACACACATTTATTGCACAAAGAACAGTGATGACAACGCGGAGGTCGAAGACGTTGACAAGTCAGACAAGGCACCCACGACCAATACGGATATTCTGAACGACTTACACATCCGTCAACTTCCGAAAATGAAGATGCGACGTACACTTTGAATCCGGTATTATTACTTTGGCCATTTTCTTGTAATGGTAAGGAACAGTTGGAACTTACGTCCGATTCGTGACTTTCGGTTGGTTTGGTACCATGTAAGTTAGGTTGGTAGCTGCTGTCCACAAAATGAATACACAACCAGTTGACCATCACTTCCAGAAACATAAAACATCCAAAAATCGTATTTATTTGAAGTAACGCCGGGCTGAATTTATAAATAGATGGCAAGGCATCAAAAATACCCCAATATGCAACGCCGAATATCACAATTAGATACCAAATGGGAGCCCATCGATTTAATATTGCCGGAGTTAACCTAAATCCCTGGCTCTTCTTAATGGAGTAATGCTTCTGTAACTTCTCTTTTAAACTAATGTTATTTCTATTCCTGAGGTCCATTTTCACTGTCCCGCACTTACGGGACACGTATCCTCTTGAAGATAATAAACTCCAGGTTAATCGTCCATTAGGTCTTCACAATTCAATACTCGTGTTTTAATAGACTACTCATTATAGTATTATTAACTGTATGAAATCTGAAAGGCAATCTTGTTAAAACATGTTGTTGTTGGTTACCAGGTAAACAATAAGAGAAAAAGCTCGCTCGTGTATTATCGGATTACCCAGTCATTGTGAATATGTTTAATTTACTGGTGATTTATTAATTGTATTTTAATATACTGCGAAATTGTTGAAAAGGGGTGCATGATAATCTCTCTTTTGTTGGGTTGATAAAGAGTTTCATTAACAAGCGCACTTGCCACTTAAAAATATGACATCGACATAATATGGTTGGTTTGCGTTTTTTTAGAATCAGTAGATGGAGCCGCAGAATTGTTTATGGGAAGGAAAACTCTATGATAAGTTATTTACACATTTTGCCCCTCTAGAAAAATGGTTTGAACCCCCAATATTGTATCCCCACCTTATATTTGACAAATTTAAAAAATGATTTTCAATTCAATTTTTCGTAAATGTTTTTGGGAGGTTTGCGACCCCAACAGAGTTGCCGCATTTTGAATTCAATCTCAATAGCTGTTCCCCATTGAGTCAGTCTGTCCCCTATTTGTAACACCAGTCTCGACAGATCGGCGCCGTCCCTGAAAGGGGCGAACTGGGAAAGAGACGAAGCGGGAATAGGGGTAAAATCGAAAGTGGCAGAACGGGACAGATGCGAAAGAAAAAAATTAAGCCAAATTTAATGATTTGAATATTTATAGCAAACCATGTATGTCACAAAAATTTAAATGAATTTCAAATGTCATCACTTATGCAGACTTTGAATGTCAAATGCCATCATGTATGCAGATTTTGAATTTCAAATGTCATCACTTATGCAGACTATGAATTTCAAATGCCATCACTTATGCAGACTTTTAATTTCAAATATCATCACGTATGCAGACTTTGAATTTCAAATACCATCACTTATGCAGATTTTGAATTTCAAATATCATCACTTATGCAGACTTTGAATGTCAAATGTCATCACGTATGCAGATTTTGAATTTCAAATGTCATCACTTATGCAGACTTTGAATTTCAAATGCCATCACTTATGCAGACTTTGAATTTCAAATATCATCACATATGCAGACTTTGAATTTCAAATGCCATCACTTATGCAGACTTTGAATGTCAAATGTCATCACTTATGCAGACTTTGAATTTCAAATGTCATCACTTATGCAGATTTTGAATTTCAAATGTCATCACGTATGCAGATTTTGAATTGCAAATATCATCACTTATACAGACTATGAATTTCAAATGCCATCACTTATGCAGACTTTTAATTTCAAATATCATCACGTATGCAGAGTTTGAATTTCAAATGCCATCACTTATGCAGACTATGAATTTCAAATATCATCACTTATGCAGACTTTGAATGTCAAATGTCATCACGTATGCAGATTTTGAATTTCAAATGTCATCACTTATGCAGACTATGAATTTCAAATGCCATCACTTATGCAGACTTTGAATTTCAAATGCCATCACGTATGCAGACTTTGAATTTCAAATATCATCACTTATGCAGACTTTGAATTTCAAATGCCATCACTTATGCGGACTTTGAATGTCAAATGTCATCACGTATGCAGACTATGAATTTCAAATATCATCACTTATGCAGATTTTGAATGTCAAATGTCATCACGTATGCAGACTTTGAATTTCAAATATCATCACTTATCCAGATTTTGAATTTTAAATGTCATCACGTATGCAGATTTTGAATTTTAAATGTCATCATTTATGCAGACTATGAATTTCAAATGCCATCAATTATGCAGACTTTGAATTTCAAATATCATCACTTATGCAGACTTTGAATTTCAAATGCCATCACTTATGCAGACTATGAATTTCAAATATCATCACTTATGCAGACTTTGAATGTCAAATGTCATCACGTATGCAGATTTTGAATTTCAAATGTCATCACGTATGCAGACTTTGAATTTCAAATGTCATCACTTATGCAGATTTTGAATGTCAAATGTCATCACGTATGCAGATTTTGAATTTCAAATGTCATCACTTATGCAGACTATGAATTTCAAATGTCATCACGTATGCAGATTTTGAATTTCAAATGTCATCACTTATGCAGACTATGAATTTCAAATGCCATCACTTATGCAGACTTTGAATTTCAAATGCCATCACTTATGCAGACTTTGAATGTCAAATGTCATCACTTATGCAGATTTTGAATTTCAAATGTCATCACGTATGCAGACTTTGAATTTCAAATGTCATCACTTATGCAGATTTTGAATGTCAAATGTCATCACTTATGCAGACTTTGAATGTCAAATGTCATCACGCATGCAGATTTTGAATTTCAAATGTCATCACTTATGCAGATTTTGAATTTCAAATGTCATCACTTATGCAGACTTTGAATGTCAAATGTCATCACTTATGCAGACTTTGAATTTCAAATATCATCACGTATGCAGACTTTGAATTTCAAATATCATCACTTATGCAGATTTTGAATGTCAAATGTCATCACTTATGCAGACTTTGAATTTCAAATATCATTACTTATGCAGATTTTGAATGTCAAATGTCATCACGTATGCAGACTTTGAATTTCAAATATCATCACTTATGCATATTTTGAATGTCAAATGTCATCACGTATGCAGACTTTGAATGTCAAATGCCATCACGTATGCAGATTTTGAATTTCAAATGTCATCACTTATGCAGACTATGAATTTCAAATGCCATCACTTATGCAGACTTTGAGTGTCAAATATCATCACGTATGCAGACTTTGAATTCCAAATGCCATCACTTATGCAGACTTTGAATGTCAAATATCACTAATGCAGACTTTGAATTTCAAATGTCATCACGTATGCAGATTTTGAATTTCAAATGTCATCACTTATGCAGACTATGAATTTCAAATGCCATCACTTATGCAGACTTTGAATGTCAAATATCATCACTTATGCAGACTTTGAATGTCAAATGTCATCACTTATGCAGATTTTGAATTTCAAATGTCATCACGTATGCAGACTTTGAATTTCAAATGTCATCACTTATGCAGATTTTGAATGTCAAATGTCATCACTTATGCAGACTTTGAATTTCAAATGCCATCACTTATGCAGACTATGAATTTCAAATATCATCACTTATGCAGCCTTTGAATGTCAAATGTCATCACGTATGCAGATTTTGAATTTCAAATGTCATCATTTATGCAGACTATGAATTTCAAATGCCATCAATTATGCAGACTTTGAATTTCAAATACCATCACGTATGCAGACTTTGAATTTCAAATGCCATCACTTATGCAGACTATGAATTTCAAATATCATCACTTATGAAGACTTTGAATGTCAAATGTCATCACGTATGCAGATTTTGAATTTCAAATGTCATCACGTATGCAGACTTTGAATTTCAAATGTCATCACTTATGCAGGTTTTGAATGTCAAATGTCATCACGTATGCAGATTTTGAATTTCAAATGTCATCACTTATGCAGACTATGAATTTCAAATGTCATCACGTATGCAGATTTTGAATTTCAAATGTCATCACTTATGCAGACTATGAATTTCAAATGCCATCACGTATGCAGACTTTGAATTTCAAATGCCATCACTTATGCAGACTTTGAATGTCAAATGTCATCACTTATGCAGATTTTGAATTTCAAATGTCATCACGTATGCAGACTTTGAATTTCAAATGTCATCACTTATGCAGATTTTGAATGTCAAATGTCATCACTTATGCAGACTTTGAATTTCAAATGCCATCACTTATGCAGACTTTGAATGTCAAATGTCATCACGTATGCAGACTTTGAATTTCAAATGTCATCACGTATGCAGACTTTGAATTTCAAATGTCATCACTTATGCAGATTTTGAATGTCAAATGTCATCACGTATGCAGACTTTGAATTTCAAATGTCATCACTTATGCAGATTTTGAATTTCAAATGTCATCACTTATGCAGACTTTGAATGTCAAATATCATCGCTTATGCAGACTTTGAATGTCAAATGTCATCACTTATGCAGATTTTGAATTTCAAATGTCATCACGTATGCAGACTTTGAATTTCAAATGTCATCACTTATGCAGATTTTGAATGTCAAATGTCATCACATATGCAGATTTTGAATGTCAAATGTCATCACTTATGCAGACTCTGAATGTCAAATGTCATCACTTACGCAGACTTTGAATGTCAAAGAATTTTAATTCTAAAATTCATTACAATTTATTACAATATACACAGATATTCAAAATAACAGTAGCACATCATGCAAAATACAGAGCAAATAAATCAAGGTGGATAAATCGATTTGCCATGCAAATCAAAATCAAAAGCAATGCAAATTTATATATTGAAAAGGTCCCTTATCCATAACAATGATGTAATAAATATATATACAAAATTTTATGAATAAATGAATGATGCTAATAATAATACATAACCTTTAAGGGATAGAGTCATTTAAATTTCTCCTAAATCTGTTAGAGTCATTGGAATTTTAGTAAAGATTAAGCCTAGGGTCATTTCCACTTATGCTTTTTAAAATTGCAGATGACCTTTAAAAAGACAGATTCGCCATCTATTTGACTGATTGCTCCTTAGTCAGTGTGAATTATCTGTTATATTTTTCGTATATTTCTATTACTTCTAAAGACTATTTACATACATTCAAGACCCAAAACAACCACCGAAAATGGCTGTTCTTTTAATGTAAATAACATGAAGCTGAAATTTGGGCAAATGTTTTGATAACCATATCCCTTGAAGTAAGCTATAATCAACTAGTCTATGACATCAACTAATAAAATATATAATATACAATAATGACTATGTTTCAAAAAATTATTTTATAGCAAATAGAGGTACTTGCCACAGTGTAACATACACATCCCCAGTGCCATTTTATGAGTTAAAAAATGCGCATTATACACGCAAATATACGGTATGACTTGTGCAAGTTTAAGTTGTGTCATAGCATTTCATACAGAAATTGGGTTATGGAAAATCATTATTAGACAAAAATCAGATTTGTCTGCTTTGTTCTTTGTGTTTATGATGTGGTTTTTCAAAAAAGCTTTTGAGAATTAGTTACCTCTTTTTACCCAGATCTTTTTTCAAAATGAAATTAAGGTAGGGAAGTTTACAATTGAATAAATGTACAAAAATTGAAGCATGCATTTTTTGAAGACGGCATAAAATTGTTATCTTTATTCATTTCAAAAAAGTTATTACATAAAAGAGTACATAGAAATGAATTTCAAATGTCATCACTTATGCAGACTGTGTCATTCTTCAAATTTTAATTCTAAATACTTAACAATGATTGTACTTGGAGTAATATTCCATACAATTTAATACAATACACACAGTAACACAAAAATAACAATAGCACATCATACAAAATACACATAAGAAACTACTTACGTATGGAAATAACACAACACACAACGTAGTTCATAGTCATTTTGAATCTCTTCCTAGACCTAATAAGTCCAATTTTCTCAAAAATTATAATATTTCAACAAAGTTTTCAAATCACATTTAAAGCCATGTCTAAAGCTTTAATATTGATTTGAAGGCTTTACTGCAATATTGTAACCTTTATCGAAATTCGACTTATTAAAGTGATACTATTTCTAAGAATGAACATAAAATTTAAGATCTCGAAATGGGCAATATGAGAATATATACATTAGTTAACTTACCTGTGTCATAAAGTTATAACAGAATTCCTGTAAAGTCTAGAAGATTGGAAAATCCAAAAAACTAAGTAATTATTGAAAAATGCTTAATCTTGATATTAAGCGTTTTTCAATAGTTAAGTATGGATACTTGCTAAGTTTTTTTGATTTATCGGATTATATAAGGATCCTGTTATGTTATTTATGACACCAGGTATATCTACTGGCTCTTAATCGCCAAGTTTAAAATTCTTAAATTCTAAGACGTAGCATTCCTTTAAGTAGCGGTAGAGATTTAAAATGGTTGTGAACTACGTTCGTGTGTGTTATTACCATATAAGAAACATACGTTGTTTCGTATGACAAAATACATTGCAAATAAATTAATGTGGATTTAAAATATTTGTGGTCATTCGTGGTACAATAAGTTTATTGTTTTTGAGATTTCAAATAATCTTGATATTTCTTATCTTGAGCATCATATAGTTTGGTGAGTTTCTTTAGAGCTGATTTACTAAGTGGTTCTCCTGCTTTGTCATGAGTTGGCATTCCCTGATAATAAAAAATATGGTAAAAGTAAATAATTAGACAATCTGATTTTATTTTTTTTATATAGCCACTTTAGTTAGGGTCTAACGACAGCCCTCAGGAACTTAAATTAACCTTTCGACCTAACTCCATGACGTCTGCTTTAAACAATCAAATTTCTACCCTCTCCAGTGCTAGTATTTTGTGACACGTCTTTATTAGGTTAAGTCGAACGGGCTGTCTTTAGACCCTTACTGGAGTGACTATATCAAAAATTACACAAGGTTGTTTCTATGGGTTGTACACTCGCCATTCAAGATCTGACAGAAGACAAGTTTTTTGTCATTGCAGATACAGCCTTGTAGCCTGATTTGAAATTATGAGAATGACAGAACAAAAAAATGTGCACATACCTTTTCATCAAAAGCAGAATATTTATCAATTTCATGTAGAAATAATTGTGATGGTGGAATAGATTTCTGTTTGTCTTTCTCAGCCTTGAACAAAAGACAAGTTGAATAAAACAACGTTAAACAGGGCTCAGAGAATACTTTCCAAAAAAAGTAGATGTTGATACAATTAAAAACAATGGAGAAGGGAATAAAAAGGTAAAATTTTAATGTGACGTAACTGAATTCGTACAGTGATGCTAGTAGTTCGAACGAACCAATTAGGCACAACCCAACAGATGTTTGAAAAATTTCTAAAAAAAAAACAAAAAGTTTATGTTCAATAATAGTAGAATAGTATAATACCTGTGCAGCAGCCTTCTTTTCTTTCTCTAATCTTTTTAATTCTTCTGCCTAAATCAAATGCAATAAGTTGGATTTTGATTGATTATAAGAGCTTAAAATCGAGTTATTTAACTGTACAGGCACACGAACGATTTTTGACAATGACCAGTCATGTTAAGAGTTTCACCGATTGGCTGCAGTCCTAGATATTTACCTTTAAAATTTCCTCTCGTTCTTTACGTAAGGTTTCTTTATCGACTAATTTAATCACAGGTTGTCTCCCTTCTTTATCTTCTAATCTGACACCCAACTCTGGCAACACTACATCTCGTACATCATCACATAGTTTTAATATTTCATTAACTGAAAAACATAGATCCATATAAGATAATTCAATTTTTATCTACATAGTACATATTGATCTGGCAACACTACATTTATTATATCATTGCATTGTTTAAATATCTCCAAACTGAAATACATGAATCTAAATCCCCCATAAAATTGTATAACTTTTATCTTTCATTCACTCATATAAATTATCATACATAATACATATTGATCTGGCAACACTACATCTATAATATAAATGGAAATTCTTTAACTGAAATACATGTTTCAGCCTAGAAATATTGATCTGGCAACACTACATATTACATAATTGCATTGTGTTAAAATTTCTTAAATTGAAATACATGCTTTAACATAGCACATAGAGCAATATAGCATGACCTCTTCAAGAATTTAGGTACACCTTGTGTTCCAGTACATCAAGTGACATATCACAGAAATTCCAAGCTACACAATGGGAATGCAATACATTAGAAAAAAGACTGGATACAATATCTACATCATCCCAAAAAAGTGATAGGAAATATCCTTGGTCTTTATACATACCTGTCATTGAACCTTTATCTTTAATTCCATCACTACAAGCTTTTAACATGTCTTTTCCTGAAAATGGATTTTCAAAAATTAAAACTTCTCTCAATTTGACAAAAACCTAGTAGGTACTGAAGTCAACAAATCTATCATTGGAAAGAAAGAAGCGAAAATAGAACAGTCCTTGTTAAAAGAGGATAACTAGATCCTTTTGCCAGTTGACTGGATGAAAAGAGATTTTGATTCAACATTATAATCATAAAGGTCATGGTTTGCCATTTTGGAGGGTTGATTTGGGTCTTGAATATATGTAAATAAGTACTAGAAAATTTCAGTTTCTATATATGGCAGAGTCACACATGGACTTGAAAGCTCAAATTTTGATAGTGAGCTATAAACACTATCACTGATTAGCTTAGCTAAAAAAAATCGCCTCTGAAAATAAGGTACAACTGGTCATACAGATGGTGAACACTCCCTTTAACACCAATGTTCTAACCTTGTGAGACAGCAGATCTAGCCGACTGTCTGACTTTCTCTCTAAAATCTCCCATAGCTGTTAAATATGGCATGACCATCTCCTCAATCTAGAATCAAAGCATATGATATAATTTAATGAGTAGTAAAAATTAGTCAATCAAAATCAAGAATTTCAAAATTTGGAGTAAAGGTAGTATAGTAGTAGACTCCTATAGAGAAGTACCATCAGGTGTTTCCAAAAGTGTAAGCATGGTCTGCTTTGAGCACGAAACCCGCCACTACTACAATAGTAGGCTCTTTATACAAAAAATTTCACAAATCCTGAATTCACAGTCATAAGTTGTCCGGAGAAGTAATGAATGCATTTCAAATCAGATGTTTTTGAGATGGTCTACTAAGCTAGTAAATTAACAATGAACAAATAACTTTTATCCTAATATTTTTAGTCCACATTGTAATCTAAATAGTTTTCTACTAAAGACCCATCCCAAAGATGTTAAATTTTTAACCAATCAAAGCATGTCATGTGAAACCCGCTTCTTGATAAAATAAGGAATGTTGGGAAAGGGAAACCCAAAGAGACTGTCATATTGCTCTACATGAAGTTTTGATATCCCACAATTCCTTATTTTATCAAGAAATGAATTTTACATGACACACTGTCATTGGTTAAAAATACTAGCTTAGAGACGGACCTTTGGATTGAACTTGTTAGATTACCATGGAGATTTAACATATCAGAAAACATAAAAGATACAAAATTGTAAAATAATTTCAATTAGACTGCAACTTACAGAGATTTTAGTCTATTTAAATGTTCAAGTATCGTTGGCTGCATGTTATTGCCATTGTTCAAAAGAAACATTACGCGTGCTGGTTTGTCATGTGACTTTTATCTCATATGACAACAATGAAAAACAGATAATGAAACAATGTTTTGCTGACAAAATCCTGTTATTTGCATTAAACTAAACAATTAACAGTCAAAATTTAAATTTCAAATAGCAAATTCAAAAAAGCTGTTAACTTACATTTGTTGTCAGATCAGAGCCTTGTGGAAATCCTACAGATTCATCATCTTCTATTGTACCAAATACCTACATGTATAAATAGTGTTGAGTTAATAAATCGTCCAATGCAATATATACCACTTCAATCATTGATAATCCTTTTCTAAAAACTTGGCAGAGAAGTTGCTTGAAGATCTACCCAATTTCTAATTTGAAGATGAATTTCTATGCGAAGGGATGGACTGTTTTGCATTCTGTAAGAGTGTTTTTTTAGTTACATCAAACAATGGTGGTCGTGGATTCAATTCAAGGGCAACAGCGTCCTTAGTCCTGTTGGAACCATTTTTCTTCTTATATTTTCAGATTTTGAAGAATATGGACTTTCATTTCATATATTGAAATTATATTATATTATTCAAACTAACTGTACAAACAATACTCTCACTAGAGGTTAAGCATGCATGCCTGTGCCTGTGCTTTCGTAACATTACATAACTGCATGTTACAACCTCAAATTCCTAGTCATGTAGAAGGGTCGGAGAAAATTTTTTAAAGTAGGAAGCAGGAGAATCTAACTAAAGAAATTTTGAAAGTGAAAGTAGAATAAATTTTTTATTTGTTATGTTGTCATACTCCCCTTTAAATATACCCCTGCTTAGAGCATTTCCACTCACCTTTAATATTTCAGTAATGTAGGAAGCAATATAGAATATTACTCGTCTATTTGGTCTGGACTTGTCATTATCTTTTTTATTAAGATAAACATGGGTTACAGATATCAGATCTTTTATCAATTTTAAAGCAGTCTTAGTGTCTACTGAATCTGAAAAAAAAAATGTTTTCATTTTCTTGAATAATAGTGAAATGGGCAGAAGTTTAAAGATGGGTATCCTTATTCTTTTAGTGTCAAATTAAGCAAACTATTTAAATAATTGGTGTTTCTAATAAATTATCATGTATTCTTAATCATATCATTATGTTCTTATTGCATATAATTACGAGTTTTAACCAATCATAAATCATAAATGCCCATGTATGTACAGTCTGGATAAACAAAAAGATACTTTTTGACCTTTCTTGATTGGGTACTCATTGGGATTATGCTGGTAATTCTCTTATAATTTAGCTAATTATGAATTAATTATGGACATATATTATGAGACAAGCTGGTATTTTTCCAAGTCATTAGAACACCTCTACTTTCTATTCATATAAGTATTAGTATTTTCATTTTCAGAAATGAAAATGAGGGAACCCATCTTTAAATTACACTTACAGAAAGCAACTTGTTTCAAAAGAATAAATTTTACAGCACAACTTACCACAAAGAGCTTCATGAACTGCAGCTTTTGTTTCTAAATACCTACAAATAAACAAGAGCACCTTATTATAAACAAAACCATTCTTGGTATCTGAACTTTTTAAAACTCTTGCCCAAAAATGAGGCTTGTAAATCTATACTTAATTCTAACTTGACATAATAAGTAGTTCATGAGAAGTATACTGTATATAATTTAGGCTCTGAACAAAAATTCCATCTATGAAAGGAGGTTTTCTATACTATTTATTCGTGCTAAATAACATCTAAGGGCCTTTGAAATAATGAGATCTTAAAAATTTGGTAAAGTGGAATTGCCAAACCATAAACGTCTAACTGAAAAATTAAAATTGTGTAGATCAACGCTAACAGTGACAAAACACATAAAAAGTTGGAAAACTTATTTACAATCCCCTTAAATCAAAAACTCAGGATACATTACTAGCTCAGTTGATTAATACACAATGATTGATCAAAAGGTTGTCTTACGATAAAGAAAAATTTGCCCTTACTTTTTGTTCAATTCTACTTCATCTTGAGTCCATTTGTCAAATCCCTCAACACCTACACTTGGTGTATTTCTTAAAACATCTTTCACATTGAAGAAAAATTCCTAAATAGAAAAAAACCAAAATCAATTCACTCACACAACTGTAGTCTGAAGCTTAATATACAAAAAAGGAGTTACCTGCCCTCAAGTGTGTCGGTATTGATACCGTCATAGGTTTGCAAGCTTTTATTTCTTTCTGGTAACAAAATTATTCATTTGGAACACAAAAAGTACACCAAATTTCTTCAGATCTTTCAAAAATTGGTCAATGGCTTGTATTAGCCCGAGTTGAATTGTCAAAAAGTCAGATTTTCTTGCAAAATTCAAAAATGGGAAAGTTTGATGCTGTGCTCTTCAAGTCAAATAAAAGGTCCTAGAAAGCATTGGCCAGGGTATCGATTGTTTTTTTGGAGGAGTAGCCTATTGTAAGCTTGGAGCCAATTCTTTTGGGGAGAAGCTTATTGGAAGCTTTGTGGATTCTAAATATAATTTCCTTACATTAACAGTTTTCTCATATTGGACTGCCATCTCCATAGTTGGTTTACCATAATCTAATGTGTCCTTCCAGGAATGTAATAAATAGAGGAATCGTATTTGTCTGGAAGTGTAGGTCTGAAGAGCATCTTGGATGGTAATGAAGTTCTTCAAAGATTTGGACATCTTACATCCTTCTATAGTCAAGTGACCGGTGTGAAGAAAATATCGCACCCAATTATCATTATCATAATAGGCCTGAAATATTAAAGGTCACACATTATGAAACAAACTAAAATGACCAACTCAAATCAACAAAATTTAAGTATCATTTGATAAAATTGCTAAGGATTTCATATCTCTTTGCACCAGCCATGTCGTTCACAGGGGCTCGGCCCCAGCAAAAATTCAGTTTTTTCAGTTCAGCAGAGATTGACTAATTTGCAATGTCTTTGTACATGTAAAAATCATCAGAAATGAGTTCTCTGAGCTCTTCATTTTTCAAATTTTCATGGAGGGGGACACATAGACTACCAGATTATAGAACTCCTAGTGCTTCGAGTCAACAGGCCCTACCTGCAACAGCTGAGCACAAAATCTGAGCCCCTGCATCAATTCACTCCTGGGGGTTGCTTTGCACATTCATTTGCAAATCAAATTTTACTGATTATCATATCAAAAATTAAATTATCATACCTCTGATTGTGCTATTTCATTATCATGATGTGGAAATTTTAAATCACATCCACCACTATGTATATCCATTGATTGTCCTAATATACAACTGGCCATTACAGAACATTCTAAATGCCATCCTGGTCGACCCTGTTTATAATAAATATACAATATAAAGAAGCTCGATACAAAGTTTTAAAGGAATTGTAAAAAAAAGGTTTTCTAAATCTTGCAAAAGTTTTCAGTCAGATGTATGTGATTCTTGGAATTCCAATAAAACTAAATGTTTTATAACGTCACCATCACCAATGCTTTTAGATATTAACAGTTTTTGCAATAGTGATGTCATAACATTCTTAGTTTGAGTAAAATTGCAAGAAAAGACCGACTGACTGAAAATTGATGCTACCAGATCTACATAAAAAGTTTGCACAACCTCTCTACAATCCATTAACACCATTTCTCAGCTTCCTTTTGCATGATGTTTAAATATTGCCACAACAGCAGATTTGAATTGCCAAGTCCTCCTGCCAACCAACTGTGAGATCTTTAGTAACTCTTGTTAATAAAAAATTAGGTACCAACGATCCAAACTGCATAGAAACCTGATATCCAATCACATATTGGTGGAACATTGGCAGTTGCTAATGAACTTTTCATATGAGGAAGTAAATCAATCATAAGTGAGTAAGTATTTCATAATGAAAAGTGGTATCAGGTGTCTAGAAGAGTAAGAATACCCTGCCAGCACATATATACAAAATAAATGGCAGGTTGACTTAGCCAATCAAAGAGTAGTGTCAGGTGCTCTAAAAGAATGAACATGTCGTTTATTATCACAGTCTCTCAGTCTTGCGAATTCATATCAATTAAAGGAATCAATCCTAGCATCTCAGTGTCAGAATCACTGTGTTATTTGCAGTAACAATTACATCTTTAGACCTACCTTTCCCCAAGGTGAATCCCAAGCTGGTTCTCCAGGTTTTGATGCCTTCCATAAAGCAAAATCACTAGCATTCTTTTTTTCACCTTCACTAGCTAATTCACCTGAATTTGAAAGAATGCTCTTGCAAATTAAAACTTGAGCTTCAACCAAACATACAACATACAAAGAGTCTCTATTGTAATCTAACGAGATTTATTCCAAGGTCATGTATGGGTGATGTTTCAAGCTATTTATAGCAGACAATCACGAACCACTCTCCCGCCAATCAAAATCACCTTTACAAGTGAGTATCGACAGTCTCATAATCTCATTGGCTTATCGCTCTACTTTGGGTATCGCTATCCCACAATTCATAGTAAATATTTAGACACAGATTCTCCATGATGCTCTGTGATTGGTTGAAATGAACATCGACAGTACATGAAATATGGTATAAATCTTTTTAAATTAAAATGGAGAAAGTGGCGGAGCCAGGTTTACGTCCGAAGGGGGGCGAAATATCTGAGATTGCCCAAAATTGCGGCTGTCTCCTCTGTCTGGTTAGATTTGGATGTTAGAATAACATGTCCATTCACACACAAAACCCAACTGTGATTAGATCTACTGCAGCATCCCCAATTCTCCCTACAAAAAATACTATCCAATGCAATCTGCTGTCAGGGTATGTGACAAATGATAGATCAAGTTCTTACCTTCTCCTTCAGCCAACGCTTTATCATCACCATAAGCTTCTGGTACTAATTTGGCATAATGGTGTCCATCCTTTTGATCAAATTTACTGGTTTCAAAATATACTGAGCCATTTGATTCATATCTTAAATTGAAATCATTCAAATTCAATAAAGAAAAGGCGTTCTCCAATCAATAAAGTTATGGGCAATGGACCTAAAGTTATTTGGATGAGACAATTATATTATTTAAAGGGGCATTCCATTATTTTTGGTGTCGAAAATTTTTGTTGCTCAAATTATGATAACTATACACCAAAATCAAAAGAAATGTGTCCCTTAACATATCTGAAAGTTTTAACTAAACAATCCAGTCATTAATTTTTTTATTTATTCTTCAAAAAAAAAAACTTACGCATATCCATTTTTGATGATTTTCTCAACATATTCAACATTTTCTGGTATATATTCACTTACTCTAGTTAAAACATCAGGTGGTAGAACCTGCAATAAAAACAATATTTTGGTCATGTCTAATTTCCAGTAAATCATTTCATTATAAGTTAGTATGAAACCAATAATCTGGCATCATTTTATTACGCAATGGACATCAACTCATTAATTGCTTCGAAAGTAAAAGTTTCAGTTTATTTTTAATATAACCACTTCAGTTAGGGTCTAACGACAGCCTTCGTGAGCCTTTGTGAAATTAACCTTTTGACCTAACTCGATGGCGTGAACTTTCCTGACAAGCCCTAACTTATACTTACATTAAGAGCTTTCATATCTTTATGATACAGTTCTTCAAATTGTCTAGGTAATTGTTGAAATATGGAATTATCTTTCACTTCTGAGCCTTTTAACGTATCTAACCATTTTCCCAGAATGTCTTTACCATCTTCAAAAAGTCGCTAAAATAAAGGATCATATGAAAAAAGAACTGCATGGAAAGTTAAATATAGTAGATAGCTTTCATCCAAATGTGGATCAAGTAGTGACTTTTTATAAATTTGCTCCAAAAAGAGCTCTAATGTTGGGGAAAATTTTGCAAAATCATTAGTAGATCAATGACAGATAAATAAGGCAAGTATTACGGATAGATACTTCTAGAATATTTATTACTTTCAATGTGATTATATTCTTGATGATGGTGTAAGAACCACAATGAAATATTGAAAGTAATAAATCTTCTAGAAATATCTATCCATAATACTTCTCTTGTTTTTGTGCTTCCATTATGATATTGAAGGATTAATGACAAGAAAGATGTTTTGTGACTTAAAAAAGTTTGAGGTTCAGTCAATTAGAAATACAATGACAGAACACTGAAATGAAATACAAAGCGGGTTATATTGAGACAGACGGATGAAGAAATGGATTTTGGTTGTCAAAACAGACCAACATCTTGGTCCCACAGATACTCCAGTCAAAATTGGCATCAATATTAAAATGACACAGCACACTAATTTTACCTCCTTTGCAATTTCCACGTCATTTTTGTTGGTACCAGATGCCAATTTCTGCTCTAAATTTTTAATGGCTGCAGTAATGCTGATGTTCATTCTATCCATCATGGCTTTTTTGTCTGGGTCTTCCTCTGTTTCTAATTTCTTCAAAAATATCTGAAAAGGGATTACTAATTAGTAATAATTAGACAAGGAAGGCAGGAAGAAAGTTCTGAAAGTTTACAAGCAGACGTATTCCCCAGAGTGGTCTCCCTTTGTACACAGACTATAAAGAAGAGTAAAGTAATTAATAACTGGAGACTGATTAATTGAGCTGGTCATGATGCGCCAGTTTTCATCAAACAAGAGTTCTATCTGTCAATGGTTGTTCATGTGTAGAAAGCAAACAAACATTTTACTATTCTGGACTGGTACTGATCAAACAACGCAATTGATTTCTTCTGCTTTTAAACATAAAACAAAGAGTTAAAGGGCCAGTATGCAAAATTTTTAGTATCAAAAACATTGTTAATTATACCTGAATATATTTCTAAAGTATGCTATTTACATGTATCTACTTGAATTTGTTTTAAAAGGTTTAATTAAAAACAGAGAGTACTAATTTTTAATTAAGCAATTTGATTTAGTTTTGCTGTACAGTAGTTTTGTAACAGCTTCCAAAAAGCATAATGAAAAACTTTCGTTCCAAAAAAATGCCTCTTTAAAGGGATTCAAAATTACTTTTCTATAATTTTTTGTAAGCTACTTATGTCGACTGTACCATTGCACCATTCTATCTTGACGTGAATTTGCAATTAAACACAGAAAGGCAGATGGCATACAGGATTGCAAGTTTCCAATGATTCATTTTACCCCTTAGCTTAATTTGGCCACTTTGAATAAATAAGACTTTTCAGTATGTAATTGCAAACAGAAAGGCTCTGAAAGCATCTTTTTTCAATAATTTGGAGCCTAATTTTGGCTTCTCATATCACTTTTCTGTATGTAAATCTGAAGTAAGGTTCATGTAAAATTTAATGATCAAACTAATTGAATGTCAGATGCTCATTCTTTTCAACCAAAAGACAATGGTTTAAGTGTTAAGAACTGATAAGATATGAAATGAATGGAGTTTTACATCCTAATTTTCGTGTTCAAACTGAAGACTTTCAATATGTTGGCCTAGGTTTAAAAACACTGAAAGAATTAGTATTCAATATTCCAGCACAGACTTCCAATTCAATTCTGGCCACAGCCAACAATAGACAATCTATTAACAGTTAATTTATAGCCGAGTGTGTGGGAATTGCAATGCTGTGACATAATGGCAGCCTCAGCCATGAAAAACGGCATAAATTGCATGTAATTGTGGTTATAAAATTGCCACTAGGGGGATTGAATTATACGTCAAAAATTAAACATAGTCTCTTGGGTGTATGTAAGGTGCAAAAAATACTTTGTGTTGATGACTCAAAATGGCTGAACATGTCAATTAATACCTTTCTAGAGAATTGAGATTGAGTAAAATAGTTTTCTATTAAATGAACAAGATTCGAATTTCTGCTGTACGAAAAATGACCCGCTTCGTTCATTTTGGTTTCTAAACACAATCTTCATCAAAAGACCGAACTCTCTAGAGAAATAAGGAAGGAAAAGATGCATTGGTAACTTAAGGAACCTCACCTTCATTGCTTCCTGAGTATCGCTTAAAATCACTTCTGGTGTACGAGCTTCAAGTTTATATTGTTCTAGAAGGTAACGCTGTCTAGCTCTTACAATGATCTGAAAAAATAAAACAGATAATAAATAATAAACTCTTTATTTTACATGGGTCAGAATTAGTCCCAATACACAAGGACATGGTTCTGTCTAACATTCAGCCCATGGGGAAAATATAATGAATGAATGAATGAGAGAGAAAAAAAAATGCACAATACCTCGATGGACAACCTGTGTATTAAATGGACACACTATGTTGCTGTGATCAAGTACATGACCACAAAAGAACTTACAGTGGATGATCTTTTAGTAAATTCAAAAATTTTTGACAGTGGTCCACCCATTAAGTCAGCCTGTCAATGATGCAGGTAAGAGGGGCTGACATGGAAAAGGCGAGTAGCTATTTGGATGGGACAATAAACCGTGTCCCCGTGTGCTACAGACGGTGCAAGTTGAAGATCTCTTGAAAGATGGAAGCGAAAAGAGCAGTCCAATGCTGCTGTCCTGACGAAATATCCTTCATTAGACCCTGCATGGTGAAAAGAAGTAGGACGTAAAACTCCATTCAAATCATTTTCATTTATATATTTTCATATTCTCAGAGATTATAGATTTTAATTTCATATATTTAAATTATATCATATTATTCAAACTAACTGTACAAACAATACTCTCATTAGAGGTTAAGCCTACCTGTGCCAGTGCTTTCCTAACCTTTCTAAGCATCAATGATACAACCTAATATTCCAAAGAGGTCAACAAAAGTAGGATAAATATCTCATTCAAATAATTAAAATGCATTATTAAATTTTAGAAAATGAAACCATCATTGGTAGAGTAATTTCAATCTGAATTGATTACAATGTACTATGAAGTCACCAGATCTAATGTAAACCAACTAAATCCATGATCATTAGGTCTCAATTTCCTGAAGCTATGGCTATTTTCAAAAGAAGAAAACTAAAGTTGGGAAAGATTAAAGTGAAGGGTAAAAGAATGGTGTTCACTATAATTTCATCTCCATTATTTCTTGGTGTTGTGCGAAACTAGATAACCCATAATTAACGTAATTTACAGTTCATATTAAAGAAACTAGTAATGGCTTGATAAAAGTGGACTGCCGACTTTTTACGACTATTTTGTGGACCACAAAGCCTCGCTGCTACAATGACTAGCTCACAAATCTTCCACAGCCATAAGACAACACTTGATGTTCCCTAAGGCACAATATTTTCCTGCCAAATTAGTCACAAGGCTTCATCAATTTAAGGGTGAGTCAACGCAGTGATCCCTACATGCATTGCTTAATGCCAAGCAGACGGCCTAGTGTCGAGGTATTTTAATAGTCCAGACTACTAGTAACTAACACTTGTAAAGGATTGTGAGTGACATGCGGAACCAATTAGTTATTTTGTTGCAGAAATTTTTTTTTTTTACCAGTTCAAAGAAACCGAGAGAATAAACATAAATAAAAAGGCTACTTCTAAAGTTGAACAATCTTTCCCGGCTTTTTGATCATTTTATCACTTAGAACATCAAAAAATTGGGTCGCTTTTTTTGTGGGGGTTCTGATGATGGTATATCATAAGCCATTGTTTGAAAGTCTGAAGTGAATTTTATAAATGAATATAGATATAAATGTACTTGCAGTTAACATTCAGGCGCCAGAATGCAGAGACTGTGGGTACAAATGGGGGCAGACTGATTTTGTGGGGGGACAACTGTTGGAGTTGAGATTCAAAATCTGGTAGTTCTGTAGAGCGCATAGGCTCAAGACATCCGTAGAGTCTTCAATAGAGTTCTCTTCCAAGAAAATTTGGAAAAATAGAAGAGATTTGGTACATGCTGACACATATTTTGGGGTAAATAAAACTCATAATTATAAATGTTGCTAGAAATGAAATTGGGGGAACAACTGGAGGTACAAACTATTTTTGCTCCCCCCAAACACTGGTAAAGCCACTGAGTTTAAGGCATAAGGTTCCAAAAAGGCTTTATACTAAGGCCTCTGATATCCTATCTTATCCTGTGATTCCGGTAATTCCAGAATGTAATTTGCTAGATAATGATCTCACCAATGCAAATGCCATTAAGTTTGAATTGTATTTGCAATAGTGATGTCTGGTCTTGCCTGGTCAACAAGTGGATATATTCATCAGTTAGACTAACCAGGTGCCATGAATAAAGAAAATAATTTTTTTAAAAGGCGATATGCCGATGAACTAAGTAATTTTTGAAACACACTTCTGAGCATGTTTCAATATACTTAGTTTAATGAATTATTACTTAGTTATGGATTTATTGGATTATAGAGAGATTATGTTATATAGTTATGACATCAGATAAGTCCACTGATGAACAAAGACTCATTTTGGCCAAATTTAAAATTTTCAATTTTTTGGTCATCCAAAGTAGTAGTATATCCTTAAAGGAACCAATGCATCAAGTGCTGAATCCAAATTGAACTTTGAAGATGTACATAGATTCCATTAGATATACAAAAAGGTGAAATATTTAAATATTTATATGATAAAATACATTAACACGGTCACACTTCTATGGTGCTGAAAACAGATTTTCATGCTTTGATTTTCTGTACACCTACATGTTTTTATATATTAAATTACTGTAAGCTAATTAAAGACCAAGGTTTGCCATCTTTGGGGGTTAATTTGGGTTTTAAATATATCATGTAACTCATGTAATTCGTTCAAAAACACCTCAAAATTACTTTCTATTTCTGTATAATTATGACTTTTCTATATATGGCACAATGACAGAGTCCTCATTTTGACTTTCAAATCATATAATTCTAGACACTCATGGATTCAACGGTGAGCTGTAAACACTATTAGCTTAGAAAAAAAAATTTCCCGTTTCTGACTATTATTAGTCAAACGAATGGTGAACATGGTCCTTTTAACTGATGTCAATGAAAAGGCCTTTCTACACTAGTTGAAGATCATGGGCAATCAAGTGGGGGTACAGAGGGGGCACCCCAATTGAACCCCAAATTTATTTAAAAAAATGAAAAAAAAATTGATTTTTATATGTTTTTGCCTCAAAATATGTGTCAGAATTCTCCAAATCCATTCAACTTTTCAAAAATTTTCAAAATGCCAGAACCCTCTACCAAAACGTTCCACGAGAGACTGGCGATTATGATGCATCCACAGGGTTACCGCGTTTTGAATTCTGCCCTCAACAGTTGTCCCCCAGTCTCTATTCGTACCCCCTGCAGTCTGGGGAGGCTGGCACAGAGACTCATAAATATAAGAAGAGTATGTGAAATTACATGAAAATGTTTGCTAGCTATAAGCAGATTGGGACTGTGTTTGACATATTTTATCATAATTGTGTTTAACCCATTAGGAATATGCGCATTATTAGATATTTGAGTTGTTTTATGTAATGTAAGTTTTACACCAATATTTTTATATTACTCATATTCTTGTGGTTGTGCAAAATAAATGACATTTCACTCATCAAAGTGTTCTGATATGTTGACGGATGAGGTGATTTGGGTACACAAATGTAATGAGTTATTCCTACATTTTTTGTATTTGTTTGTTTTAAATTCAATGTGCTATGCTATCGTTATTTTTATAGTCTCAATCTTTCAAATAACGCCATTACAGAAAAAAAATTGACAATACTCATAACAATTAAGATAAGTCTAATAACATTCAGTCGACAGATTAAGTAGTAAATTTTAAGCCATTGGCTACCAGATAACAAATATTTCCATAATATATTTTTTTTAAATGGGTATGACTAAGCAAATGTAATAAGCGTCGGCCATTTTAAGGCTATTAATTACAAGAAAACGACAGTCTATGTCAATCAAAGTTAGGTTACTCTATCAAATTTATCAATCTCTGAATCTATATGTTCCACCATTATTGAAAAGGTGATGTGAAAGCCAGGAAGAAATGACTGCAAGATTTTGTCGATTGGTCATAATCAATAGACTTTTGGTCAATTTTCATGCAGACGACGATTGCCACTTTCACCCTTCTCTTCTTAGCTTACTGAAGTATGACTCACAAAAGTTTGAAGAGAAAATGAGTATCTTTGAAGACATTTCTGAAAGATCATTACTACTGAGGTTAGAAATGCCGACATTTTGTAAAGGAATCGGCAGCCGAGAGTTACATGTTTAATGAAAATGATGATGATTATTTGATAACTGAAATGAACAAGAATTGTGGTGTTGATAACAAGCTTTTTCATTAGTTGGAATTAACTTTGTCACTTGCGGACATTGCAACACAAAAATGCAAAGGAAAAATATTTTCACAAGAAAAAAAAATCCTTGAAAGTTGAAGACGGCATTCGGTGTATTGATCTTTTTGAAAATAAATTAGCTGTCCACGCAATGAAAATTTAATTTAATTTTGTTGAAATTCAATCAAGGCAAACTTGAAAATTACACGACTTCTGAAGTGTCAATGAAAGAAAGGCTTCCACCATATCAAAAAAAGATTTCTGACATTGATTTTTGTATCCAATCATCCAATATTAATTAAACTAGTGATTCTAAATGCAGAAGGTGAAAAAATATATCTATGAGGTACATGCTACATGTTGAATGATACAAGGTAATCAATCTTGTTGTTCTTAACTGCTCTTCTGACTTATGTGCAATGGTTAAAGCCTGGTTAGGTCAAAAGGTTATTTTGACAATGTTTAAGATGCCCGGTAATTAAAATATGGAACAAAAGTTTGGTCCTCAAAAATCATGAGGACTCTCCAAAAGGGTTATTAAAAGATAAGCCTACCTTATCATCAATATCAGTGATATTCATACAATAAAATACATCATAACCAAAATAATTACTGATTACTCTTCTCAATATATCAAATGATATGTAGGATCTGAAATACATAGTATATATGTCAGTTCTCATTCAAATTTACAATCTACTGACATTGATAGAATTGGATAGTTCATGATTTCGAGCAACACAACTAAATGTATACCAGGTAACAAATACTTACCTAGCATGACCCATATGAGATACATCATACACAGTTGGTTTACAAACTATACCAGGTAACATTAATAAATACTTACCTAGCATGACCCATATGAGATACATAATACACAGTTGGTCTACACACTATACCAGGTAACATTAGTAAATACTTACCTAGCATGACCCATATGAGATACATCATACACAGTTGGTCCACAACTATACCAGGTAACCAATTTACCATCTTGAGGAACAAATACTTCCTGAAATGAAAAAATTTGGCATAAAAGAAAGATTGATTTGATGTTCGTATTATCATCAATATTCTAAAGAATATGACAGATCAATATATTGTACAAATTTGCATTAAGTAGAATGATACATGTTTGGAATACCAGCTTCATATTTAAAATTGGCTCAAAAGATATGCAACGCCACACAGTGTGTAATGAAAAGAATTCTTTCTGGATAGTGCCATTAGGTTACTCTCTCAATTTACTGTTGAGAAATCTTACGTATCTGTACAACCTGTTGAATACCAGGTCTTGGTTAATTGTCCAATATAAATGATTCGACGCATTTCAAATTTCGACTTCTTTAACCAGCATCACAGACTGGGGGAGTCAGAGAGGTATCATATGGACTCTCATTAACTCCTTTTACATTACAAAATTAATCTGTTTACAGATCAGAGGAGGTGGTCTTGGAACGGTTCTCAGAACCCTTACTGCACATGCCTCATAAGCGGCCAACTTTTCCCCTGTAATTTTTTCATTATTCACTGCAATTGTTGATTACATCCAGATGTCTTTAATTCCATCAGATTGACTACAAGGATTAATTTAAATTCTTCAAGAAGAGTTCCACAGATAACTGTGCCAAGAACGCTTTTCACACTACCACTAAAAAATTGCTCTCAGACCACTTAAATTTACTGTAATGTAAATGGGCACATTTTATCGCAACCTGATCAGGACCGAGAATGGAACACTTTAGAGCGAACTGGTGTAAAAAGGTCATTAGTAACAAAAATTCGATGAAATGTATATCGATTTGTTTTCCACTTTTATCTGTTCATATATCATTATGACCAACAAATTCAAATACCAGACAAAAAATAACTCAACCACCAAAATATAATCTAAATCACTTTTATATCAAAGTTCAAGCCAAAAGCTCTTTAGAATTGTTATTTGAAGAATTTGGTTCATGTGGATTAAAAAGTAAAAAAACACCTAAAACCATTAAAACAATATTAGCCAACTCTTCAATTCTAGAAATAAAAAAAATTCTGTTGACAGATTCATCAAAAATCTAAAATAAGGCGACCGAAAGTAAACTTTGTATCCTGTCTTGTAAATATAGTTTATAGATTGACGGCTTTAAGTGGTGAAGAATGACAGCTGTCAAAACTTGTCCATCATCCAAAGAAAAACATGGAAGTTGTTTCCATCAACAAGAACTGTAAATATTGTATCATTGTTAAATTCGTAACAAAGAATCAAGATTTCGGAACAACAATTGAAATGATATTAAACAAAGCTTTTGATTTGGTGGAAAAGATGGCCTAGCAGACTACGACAAATATGTCTGAAAAACTTCATCTCAAATCATTTTCATTTCTTTTTTCACTTTTGAGTCTGCCTCAGTTTAGTATTTGAGTCAGAAAATGACATTTATAGATTCTGAAAAAATACATTAGATTTATAATGTTTTTTGATTTTGCTCAGATCAGTGGTTTTCAACCTGTTTTTGTATGTGTCCAGAAAACAATGGCTCCAGATATAAAACTAGATCTTATATGAATGATTGATTGGGAAAAATTTAAACATACTCATATGAGATGTTGTAATGTATATATAGGGTGTTTCGAAATTAGAGCCCCCTCACCCATGACCTAAACTAAAATAAATATGGACAATAACTAAAGTGATTCTGCACAGGTATTTATTTCAGTTTCTCTATGGGTATCTAATATTTTCTGTGGCTTTCATTTGCCTGTACCACAGCCTGCATTCTTGAAACATTTGGTGTATCGTAGTATTTCATATCCTGTGACACATCAAATGTCCCCAAAGAAAAGTGCAAATGTCCTCATGGTCAAAACCTAATGTTTACAAAGAGATGGTGCTAATAAGATGGTTTGGACGCAGTGACGATAATCTGGTCAAGTTTTCTAGAACTACAGGAAACACAGATGTAGTCTGGGAAATGCAAAAGGTGCGCATAAAAACCTGATACTTATACAACAATTGAAAACCTCTCTAGAATCACCTTAATTATTTAATTGTAATACTGAAATTGAAATCATTAAATTTCACAAAAAAATGTGTTCTAATTTGATTTCTGTCCATAGTCACTATAGCAATTAGTGTCAAATAAGCATTACTTAATTAAGATAACAAAATTAACTGCCATTTTATTTTAAGTCCACTCTTTCTTTATGGAAAACATATCATGATCAATTCTTTATTCATAACTAGGATATGATTTAAATTGACAAATAAGAGAACAAAAGAATAAGCATAAGGTCGTCAAAGTGATCATCAGTGCATTCAGGCATAGTAATTTAAACAGGTGTTACTGACTGAGCCAATTTACAAACGCAGATACATGTGCAGCTACTTCCTGTAAACAGGTTGTTCCATGACATCAAAGACATTTGTCAACAATTCATGTCAAGCGTGCACTAGCATTTCAAAACCATCTTAATTATGAATCATTGTGTCATGGTAATAAATGTGTTTCACATGGAAGGCGATGCATCACTTACATGCTTTATAAAATATTCAACTTCAAACAAATGTGAATAGTATTATGTGATGAGATATTTTTCGCGTCTGCCATTTTTTTTTTTTTTTTTTTACCAGGTCAAATGATTTAATGTTAGATACCACCCACAGCACTATTCAAAAAGAAATTCTATCAAATAGAATTAATAATAAAGTAGTGACATTTAACAATGGAGTATACAAACTTAAGAAATCACATTGCTTAAATGAAATGAAATGAATGGAGTTTTACGTCCTACTTTTCTGTATCATGTGGGTTAATGAAGACGGGCAACGCCATGCAGGGTACAATGAGGGTAATTTTGCCAGGACAGCGGCATTAGCCTGATCTTTTCAATTTCCAAATATCGAGAGATCTTTAACTATTCCGCACCATTCAAGACAGAAATATATGACAAAGCAAAGTGTCTGAAGAAACAGTTAGCAGTCTCTGCCAGGTCACCAGTTAAGATAGCATCACAGGGTATCTTGTATTCTAATAGGGTTAATCCAACATTTAATATTCATTTGTGAAGCATTTTGATATCACAAAAATCTTTTTAAAAGAGAAGAAATTTATATAAAAAGTAAAGTGATAAAAATCAAATATAAACAAAGATTAAAATAGCAGTGATAAGGAATTTCTTAATCAAAGCATACACATTTGAACTAATTTGAAATAATATTCATAAGAAGAGAATGTCAACCAAATCTTATCTAACTAATTGGATTAAGAAACCTGGCACAGGGGGTTCACAAGGTTCTTCAAATTGACATAAAGTTTGCAGATCATACTGATAAAATAAGTTAATAATTAAATCAAACAGGGATTAGTGGTTTTGTTGACCTTTCCATTCTTATCATTACATAATATAATATTGTGTCACATCGTGAACTTTGTCACTCTGCTCTTGACAATGTCAAACTATTCAAGCCAAGCAATTGTATACATTAATGTATTAAACCAAAAGTGGGGAGAGGCTGAAGACATTTCACTAATTATCACATACTAAGAACGATATGAAATGATAAAAGATTTTCCATCACAGTATTCCTTAAAAGTTCATGACTATGGTGAAAATTTCCTTGCAAGATTTTAAACAATATAGGCAATATTTTTTCAAAATGTTGCCTGAAATCTCCAAACAACTGTTGTTATAATAATTTTTCATCAAATATTTTCAAAAGTTTAGTAAATTCATAGTTTAAATTTCATACAATTTGTCAAAAATTTCTGTGCCAAACTGAACTCCTGTGACATTGATAGCATCAATTTTCACCATTCCAATTTTCAATCTGACTTCTATAGTTCCTGCAATCCCACAAAAATAAGTTTCTGATGACATCACTAATCGCAAAGGGCCTTAAGCATTTTTTGAGATCAGTAATGTCATCAAACACTTATTTTTGTAGAATTGCAGCGACCACAGACGTCTGCTTGAAAAATGAAAATGATGCAAATTGATGCTATCAGTGTCACTGATACACATACAAATTTTATAAAACATGTTCTACATAGCAATGCATTGACATGAGTGCCGAAATCTACTAATTTCATTTGTTCATAACAGGCGTTACTACCAGGAATGCCTGGCACAATAATATTGGCACTGGAATCAAGGGGAAGCAACCTTACAAGACCTCAACAAGAAGAGTCAATAGTAGTCTGACACACAGTTGGCATGGTAATAAGAGACAGAAGCTAGATGGACTGTGATTGGCTAGCAGTCATGCTACAATTACATCTCCACTGACTTGGGAGTAGAGAGTTCTATTATTAACTATAGAGCACATGTTTCAAGTCTTCTTTTCATTCATTTACTATAGTTTCTTCTTAGTGACAAGGGACTTCATTCATACAAAATAAAAAGGGGTTTCAGGTTTGCTTTAGAGTGTGTCTTACGGACCCCCTTGTCCTTTGCGATTTCACAAATGGATATATTACCTCTCTTGCTGATTCTCTTATCAGCGATTATTTTAGAATGTTTGGATGTAGTATGCTGTAATACAACTTGGGAACATCTTTCTTGTGAGTACTTAATCTACTGAATATTGTACATTTTATAACATTTTATAACATTTTATAACATTTTTATAACATTTTATAACATTTTTACCTCACGTGACATTTTTTGATTTTTCAGAATCTCGACGGCACATTTGTCAAATTTTTTGATACCAACTCCAAAACAAATTAACACAATATTTCAATATAACTTGGACGCATTACAACAGAACGTAACGACATATAGTAAATATTTTGATTAAATGAGTGAAGAAAGTGTTGAACCTGAATTACTTATTTACATTTCAAAGTTGAATTCTGGTTCAGTTCTCGTGAAGCAACAAAAACAATCATTTAGTTGAGTGAAAGTTATTGTAGTAGACACTTCACGTATATTCCAATGAATTTAATTTTATCCACTGCATTGACAACATATGCCATGCTATGCTATGCTATGCTATGCAATGTGTATCAGCTACAAAAGATG